AAGATTATTAGACCGCAGACATCTTTGGAGGGCCATTCTTTTGCCCACCAGGGACTGTGAAGATCTGTGAGGACAGCCTCCATTGTTTGCTGTGGCCTTAGAAGCAGGCACAGATCCTGGGACAGTGCAGGTGCTCTTCAATGTGCTGGGTGATAGAATGAGTGGATTTACAGCCCCCCACGCTGGGTCCCTGACAGGAAGGACCTCTCTCCCCATGAGGCCTGGTCTGGCACGTAGCCAGCAGCCCATTTGTCATCTCTCCTACTTACCCAAATGATATGACTCATAGGGCATCTGTCTTTCATGTTTCAAGGCAAATTTTAAAAAATCAGCTTTATTGAGGTATAACTTACAAATAATTAATTCACCCATTATAGGTGTTCATTGAGTTTTTTCTTTTTCTTGTTTTATACATTCACTGAGTTTTGATAAATGTTACTCACCTATGCAACCACCACCATTATCAATATATGGTGTGTGTGTTTAGTTTGTTTTGTTGCGTCCATGTGTAGTTCTGAGTTTTAATGCCTCAGACTGAGTCCTTAAATCCATAGTCCTCATAGATAAGGCCTATAGATTGTGTGTCACCATCCCCACAATCAGATACTGAACAGTCCCATCACCTCCCCCAAATTCACCTGTGTCTCCCTTTGTGACCACAGCCTCCCCGACACCCTTAACCTTTGGCAACCACTAATCTGTTATCTGAACCTATAGTTTTCTCCAAGGCAAATTTTAATCATGATTACCTAGGTAGTAATTTCATTAAAAAGAATCCCTTTCCCTTTACACGTTACATTGCAGCCATTTACCTGACCTACATCCTTAGCACAAGGGAGACGGGCAGGTGACCAGAAGAAAACGTTGGGATGGGAAATATGACTGCAGGTCTTCCTCAGGCCCACTGAGCCCCTGGCTGCCTCAGGGCCAGCCTCCACTTCTATGTTGGGGGAAAGCAACGACCCCGTCCACCTCATCCAGAAAGCCATGTAATGGGAGTGAAGGAATCAGGTGACCTCAAAGTTGAGAAATCGGCGAGCTGCATTGGAAGCATGATGAAGACATGGTTCTTCACCTCAGCAAATAGGTGACAGTCGCAATTACAAAGAGAGAAAGAAAAAAACGAGATCAAGTAGTAGATCCAGCATGGAATATTTCTTACGGAGGTGAAATTCACATAACATGTATTAACCATTTTAAAGTGTACAATTCAGTGTCATTTAGTACACCCAGAATATGTGTCATTTCTAACAAGTTCCAAAACATTCCAACACTCCAAAAGAAACCTTATCTCCGTTAGCAGTCCCCTTCCCCCATTCAGGCCCCCAGACCTAAGCAAACACCAATCTGCTTTCTGTCTCTATGGATTTACCTATTCTGGATATTTCATATGAATGAAATCACAATACAGGGCCTTTTAGTGCCTGGCTTCTTTCACTGAGCATAATGTTGTAGCACATCAGCATTTTATTCTTTTTTTATGACTAATATTATAGTGCATGGGTATACCATAGTTTTCTTTTTTAAATCCATTCATCCACTGATGGAACACAGCATAGAATTTGCCTTTTTTGGGACTTGAACATCACTAAAACTACTTCTACTTCCCAGAACCTAACTCTACTATCATCCTCTGGGTCTGTGTGATAAACCTTCTCATACATGTTCTCATGTAATTGAAGAGTTTTGTAAAGAAGGGAATTTACACCTCCCCATTTTATAGATTTGGAATTTGAGGCATAGAAGTATGAAGTGACTGGATCCAGGTGGGATTCCAAGCCTAGTGTCCACCCCTCTTCACCCCAGCTGGTGTCTCTGAGTGCAGGTCATTGAAAAACAGCCCTGGCTAGTGTGGTTCAGTGGACTGAGTGCTGGCCTGCGAACCAAAGTGTCGCCGGTTCAATTCCCAGTCAGGCACATGCCTGTGTCGCGGGCCAGGTCCCCAGTGCGAGGTGTGAGAGAGGCAACCACACATTGATGTTTCTCTCCCTCTCTCTTTCTTCCTCCTTCCCCTTTCTCTAAAAATAAATAAAATCTTTAAAAAGAAAGAAAGAAAGAAAAACAAAGTGCTCACAGAAAGAAAACTCCTTGGGAAGGATTTCAGTGCAGTCTAAACAAATGCAGAAAATCTTTGAATTCTGTGTCCTTCCACCGGTGCTTCTGAACACGCTCTGTGTCTTTCCAGGGAGGCAGCCAGAACGCCAGGCACACAGCTCTTGTCGCTTCCCTTCCTGCTACCCTCTCATTGCTTTTAATTGCCTCTGAGCCTCTCTAGCATCTTATATTTTGATTCCTAATCCAGGCCATTTCTCTGCCTCCCACTGGTCCAACCCAGCACTTCTCTCTCTCTCTTAGAGCTCCCCAAAGAAGTGCCCCCATAAAATGGAGTTGGTCTTCTGTAATGAATTCATCTCTATAATGAATAGTATAATATCCAAGTTCCGGGCATATTTACATAGCAATCTCCACACACAAGCAACATAACAAAGGCAAGACTTTTAAAAGAATGCCATCTCAAAGCTCCATTTCCTATAGTACTAAGAACACTATGGGAATTACCCTGACAAGAAGACAAAAACGACTTCCAGGGATGCTGGGTTAGAGACAATAACACCAGCCCCATTAATGTTTAAAGTCAATGGAGCATAAAACTGCTTTTCTCTACTTACAGGCAGCATCATCTTACAGAGGGGAAGAAAAAAAATTACCATTTAACTCCGCTGAAATCCATAGACCTCCCCTAATTTTCATTCCCCTTGAAATTCTTCAGTAAGTACCATCAGAATGAAAATGAGAATCACTCTCTCTGGGGGGAATGACTTCCAGTGCTCATCAGTAAAGTGTGTGAAGAGCCCTCCACGGAGATGGAGGAGGAAGGCTGCCTGTCAGGAAGGGATCTGTCACCAAAACCTGCAGAACTGGTTGTAGTGACACCTTGGGACTTGGGAGCCCGTCGGCTGACTCCAAGAGGGCCTTCAGCAATCGCAGGGCAGGGTAGACAGGAGGCCGAATACAAGACAATGAGCAAGTTCAAGGAAGTAATGCCTTTAGGATGTGTTTTACGCAGTGGGCTGCAAGGGGGGACCGTCATAGTTACTGTATTAGCTGTTTCCCTGGGGGAATCCTTGGAGTTGGGCCAGGCCTCTGTTAGTAAACCATGGACCTAATCCCACATTACATTTGTGTAATGCCTGACAGAGCCTGTTCCCATTATCTCATTTGATCCTGAAAACAATCCTCAGGGGGAGGCAGGCCAGGGATTATTTTTTCCATTTTACAAGTGAAAACACTTGTAAACTGATTTGCCAGGAGCCACACACCCCAGACAAGGCAGGAATGAGACTTGAATCTAGGTCTTTGTACAACCTGTTCAGTGTTCTTTTGACTCCACATCACAGCCCGATCAAAATATTCCCAGCCCCACCCAGTCCTCACATTCATCAGCTTCACAGCAGCTGGGAGCTGGCCACCACAGAGCTTGTGTTTATACTGCCCACACACGCCTCTGTCCTAATGAAAAAATACAGCTCTGAGTGACAAGCTCTCCGTGGGGAAAAAAAAATTGTATCCTCTCCCTGCACCCAAGAGCAAAATTAATCCAGATGGATTTGAAAAAAATCAAGGCATTAGAAAAAAAATCTTTAAAAAAATTGAACCAAGTAATAACTTTCTGGAGGCAAGAAGACTCTAAATTTAGCACTGTGTTATAAGTCTCAAAGAAAGGGATTTTACAGATTTGACTACATCAAAGTTTGTTAAGTGTTCTTGAAAAAAAAACCTGTACAGGGGCAGCAGAAAGACCTGAAATGTTCATGCCAAAATATGAAAGAACAGAGTTAACTCATGGGACCTAGAGGAGTCATACAAATAGGAAAAACTTAGGAAACAATTCACAAAAAAGGGAAATGCAGTTGGTTAACATTTCGAAAGCCGCTGTACCTAAGTAAAAAACAAAACAAAACACACACACAAACACACAAAACCAACCCTGAAAGGAGCTATCAGTTTCATCTATGAAACCAGCAAAAAAATTTTTAATAGTACTCAAATACTAGTGAAGTTGCCATGAATAATGTGTGTGCCCACACATTAACGATGGGAGGGGAAATTTACCCAACTGGGTAGCAATTTGGCACATTTATCAGAAAGCTTAAAATATCCGTATTCTTTGACCTAAAATTCCATTCGTGGGAATATGTTCTTAGAAGAGTCATCGACACGGAAAGTTTTACATACAAAAAAGTGAGTCACAAACTCATTTACAACGGTGAAATCAGGTAAACAGCAAACGTTAAAGGAATTGTTTAATAATTTATGGTACAGCCACTTGATAGAACCTTACGTAATCATTATGTTCTCGAAGTGCATGCAATAACAAGAACACCGTTTATGGTGTAATACCAAGTGCAAAAGTGTACACCATTGTATATGTGGCTGTTGTGTAACTCTTCAATAGAAAAAACTAGAAAGGAAAAAAATGTTTTAATGTGAATCACATTTGAGTCCTAGGATTATGATTTTTTACATCGCCCTATATTTCTATTTGAATCTTTTCTTTTTTTAATGAACAAAGTAAACTCTTCAGCCATGCGGTGGCGCGTCCTTCTCGAAAAGAGCTTGAGGACTGGGCGTAAGGGAAAACCCCACCTCGGGTCGATTCCGCCCCCTTTTGCGATGGCTACTCAGCACCCCCAATTCTCTCCCCTTCCCCCGCCCCCACCTCTCGGAAGTCGGACCGGGCCCCGCCCCTCCCCCACCTCCCCTGGGTCTGTGTGACGGCGGGTGCGCGGGGGAGGAGCAGGCTGTCTCAAGCGTTGATGACACGTGGGGAGGGAGCTAGTGTCGGAGGAGGAGGAGGGGTTAGGCGTGTGGGTGGGTGTGTCTGCGAGTGGCAGAAACCAAACCAGGTCGCCTCAGAGTCTCCATTTTTTGTGTGTGGCTCATCCTCCCGGGGACCGACGAAGGTCTCTCCACACCCAGGATTCTCGTACAGGCGGATGCCGAGCGCAGACAAGTGAAGGCTCAGGCCACTGCCCTGCGCTGCCCCCGAGAGCCCGTGACGCGGTAGCTCCCCGCACGTCTCCTCCCGCCCCGGCGCGGTGGTTGGGCCCGGCCGCAACGTCACCCATTGTTTACAAATCAACTCGAGCCGGTAGGATTCCGGCTAACGCGGCTGCAGCGCGCGGCACGAGTGGCAGCCGGTCTCCGGCTTTCGCGTCATTCCCAGCCCCGGCCCCGGCCCCGGCCCCGGCTTCGGCCTCAGCACTGCACCCGGCCCCGCCGCGGCCCACAGGACTGCCAGCGACGCCCGCAGAGCTCCGGATTCCCGGGCTGGGGGCCATGCCGTGCCGGAGGGAGGAGGAAGAGGAAGCCGAGGGGGAGGAAGAGGAGGAGGAAGACAGTTTTCTCCTGCTGGAGCAGTCGGTGACCCTCGGCGGCTCTGGCGAGGTGGACCGGCTGGTAGCCCAGATCGGCGAGACGCTGCAGCTGGACGCGACGCAGGACAGCCCTGCCTCCCCGTGCGCGCCCCCCGGGCCGCTTCTGCGGCCCCCGGCGGCGGCGGTGCGGACGGATAAGGCCCGGCCCCCTGTTCTGCCGCTGCTTCTGCCGCCGGCGCCGGCCGAGGCGGTGGGCCCAGCGCCCCCGGGAGCGGTCCGCTGCGCTCTCGGGGACCGCGGCCGCGTGAGAGGCCGGGCTGCGCCCTACTTTGTGGCCGAGCTCGCCGCAGGTCACAGCGCCCTACCCGGGCCTTGCCGAAGAGGATGGTTACGGGACGCTGTAGCCTCCCGCCGCCTGCAGCAGCGACGATGGCCCCCAGCCGGGGCGCGCGCCCAGGACGACGACCCGCATCGGCTCCTGCAACAGCTCGTGCTCTCGGGGAACCTCATCAAGGAGGCCGTGCGGAGGCTTCAGCGAGCTGTCGCCGCGGTTGCAGCCACAGGCCCGGCCAGCGCCTCCGGAACTGGGGGTGGCCGCAGCGGACCTGACCCTGTCGCTCTGCAGCCCTCGGGCGCCTTGCACTGACCCGGGGCCCCTGAAGTAGGAAGAGAAGGCCGCTGCACAGACCCATCAGCGCCCTGCCCTCACCCACCCTGAGCTGAAGCCACCGTCGCCGTTGTGGGAGCGACTGCTTAGGCAGCAGGGAGGTTTTGGGGGAGACATCCAGCCGAGAAGTTACCGGCCCCAGCGAGGCTGTCCGAGAAAACTTGAACGTGGAGAAATACACGGGCCAGGACACGTCTGTGCCGCGTGAGAACTTCCCCGGCTACCTTGGGGCCAAGGACCTGGGATAAACTGGGAGAACTATGGCAGCTACTTTTATTGACTTGTACCTGGCTTAGCCCTTGGGGGCGTCGTGTTCTTGGATTGTTTAAAGATAGGGCCCCAAGGGGCGGGAATTCGTGAGGGCTTTAGAACAATACTTGAAAACTTAATGACACGAGTACATTTTATTTTCCGGTGGAGGAGCTTAGTGAAAATGGTGCTACAATTGCTGTGCAAAGAAGTTCCGGAGGGGGGAAGAATGTAAAAGCGTGGTGGTGGCTGGTTGGCCCCTTCCTCCCACCTAATTGGGGGCTGATCGAGGTGGGAGAAGTGAAGTCCAGTTAGGGGGTGGAAGGGAGGTGGAGAGTTTTGACGGTGGGTAGAACCGGAGTTGAATTCGGACTTTTAAATGACTGACCTTGCCACCTGTGGTTCAAGGTCACGGTTTGCTGTACGTGGAAGGCGGTGGGGTTCCTGGGAGAGCTAATTCATCCCCCTGTCCTTTCTTTCTCTTGCTCCAAGAAGAGCCAAGTCTGTGCTTTCCTACCTTTTGGGAGTCTCCCTGAGAGACAGGCAGAGTGGCTTTGGGGAGAGTGACTTGTTTTTTCCTGCGCTTTCCTCTTTCCAGAACTCCTCCTCTCATGAGGCCACTCTTGGCCATGCCATGAGCTTTCTCAGAAACGGTCATAAACAATCTCTTGTGTCTCTCCCGTTCTCCTAGTCCACCTTTATTAATCCTCCCGTTCTGATGTCTGCAAGGGACGATGAGACCCTGGTTGTTTTCCTGCCCTGTTCTGGCCCTCTGTGGATCTGTGGGCCTGAGCCTCCATGGGTCCTCACCATCAGTTTCCTCCTGCCACTAACTCTTCTTTGTAAGTGACTGAAACCGTTTTTAAAATGTGACTCTCTGAGAGGAGAAATCTCTGGCTTTACCCTTGTGAAACTTGATGGCACTTTAAGTGAAGTGCCACCCCCCACCCCAGACTTTAAGGTAGCTAAACCCGTTTTTTTAAAAAAGATTCAATGGCTTGTTCATCCTCCAGATGTAGCTATTGACGTACACTTCGCACCGGAGTGTCTGAAATTGTGGTGGTCCTGATTTCTAGGATTTCTTAATTAAAATGTCTGCTGAATAAATTCAGTTTGTTTGTTTGTTTGTTTTGGAGCATGGTTTGGCTTTTTGATGGGAGGCGGGGGAAAGAAAAGAACTTGGGGATACATTTAATAATGAAGAATGCACCTGGGGAGACTTGGGCTCAGCACAGAATACTGGTAACCCTGCAAGACTTTGGTGGTTCTGGAGTGATGGCCCACAGGATCAGAAAAGTAGGTCCAGGTTTTTAAAGCCGCTAGGTGGGCTTCCACTCCCTCTGTGAAATGAGAATATATTCCAGAAACACTTTCTAGGCTGGAGGGAAGAGGCCAAGAATTTGTATCTGGAGAGGTATTGAGGGAGTGTTCGCAACTGAATTTTTTGTGTAAAGAATGGGAAGGGCACAGGCAAAGCCAGCCTGTTTCCTGCTAGGAGACTGACCCACTCGTGAGCTGTGGTCTGTGGAAAGGAAAACGGTTTTACAGCGAAGTACTGGTATTTGGTAGGAAAATGGCTGGGTTTTATTGCAGGGGTTAGATTAATTGAAGGAGCACCTCCTCTTTCTCCTGCCCGCAGCCCCAACTTCCCCTCATAGAACTCTTGTGGAGCCCCCTCCTGTTTGCTCCCTTGCCCTTTTTAAGGAAGCTTTTCTTGGCACAGCCTGCTAGCCAGCCCCCTGAGGGACCTCTCCTGCCCAGCCCTTCCCACCCTGAAGCTGCAGGGGAAGGCTAGTGCTCAGTGACTCTGTTTGAGTCAGACCTGCTGCTCACCAGCTGTGTCATATGGGGCAAGTCACCGCTCTGTGCTTTTCCCTTTTCTCATTTATAAAACAATACATAATAAGGTAGTCGGGAGGGTCACATGAGAATCTGGGTTGTCCAGGATACTTAAGTGCCCCAAAAGTGAGAGCTGCTAATTCTTTTTTAAAAAAGATTTTATTTATTTTTAGAGAGAAGGGAAGGGAGAAAGAAACACTGATGTAAGAGAGAAACATCGATTGGTTTCTTGTGTGCGCCCAGTTGGCGCCTGAACGCACAACCAAGGCAGGTGCCCTGACTGGGGATGGAACTGGTGACATTTTGCTTTTTAGGATGACACCCAAGCAACTGAGCCACACCAGTCAGGTCTAACTGCCTCTTTTTTATTTTTTTGTTTTAAGATTTTATTTCTTTTTAGAGAGATGGGAAGGGAGGGAGAAGGAGAGGGAGACACATCAACTGGCTGTGAGAGAGACATCAACTGGTTCCCTTTTGTACACCCCCAACCAGGGACCTGGCCTGCAACCCAGGCATGTGCCCTGGGTGGGAATTGAACCCGTGACCCTTTGCTTCAGAGACTGATGCTCAGTCCGTTGAGTCACACTAGCCAGGGCATAGCTGCTGATTCCTGATACCACCATTGGTCCTTCCTCCTCCAGGGGACCCATATATGTCTCCTAAATGTGTCCTACTTGCCCTAACACTTCAGCCTCCCCTTCTCTTCCACCATAAGCACAAGCTGTTGCTTCCTTTTTTGCTTCTGTGCCCTTCAAGTCCCTTTTCCTGAGCTCCTTCCAGAAAGCCACCTCCATACACCTTCCAAACAGTCTGTCTCTCTGCTTTCAAAATACTAGGCAGATAGCATTTACTGAGCGCACATGTACCAGGTACTCTTCTAGGTGCTTTAAATTATTAGATCATCTCATTATGTCATGACTTTGCCATGAGGCAGGCACTATTGTTTTTTAGTTATTTACTTATTTAAAGTGACTTTAGATAGAGTGGACAGGAGAGAGAAACATTGATCTGTTAGTCCACTTACTTACGTATTCATTGTTTGATTCTTGTTTGTGCCCTGGCCTGGTATCCAACTGACAATTTGGTGTATCGGGATGATATTCTTACCAACTGAGCTACTCAGCCAGGGTATTAGAGAGTATGTTTATTAAAGCTGGGGACAGTGTAACAAGGAAGGGCTTAGGATAGGATAAGCAACAGGAGACAGCCTACATGGGGCTGCTTTGGCGCACTGGAAAGTCAGAGAAAAGAGGACCTTGGATACAGGTTCAGGGAGTTAGCCTGGGATGATCTGCTGCTGCCCATTGCTCCCCTGGTTGCAGGTCTTGTGGGGACCCTTGGAGTTTAGGAGATACACTTTTGTAGGGGAAGATGTGGGCGTGCTCCTGGGAGGGAGTGCATGCGTATTTTGTCCATTTTATAGATGAGGGCACTGAGGCCCAGAAAATTAAGTTGCCTGAAGTTACCACATTTTAAATGGTGAAGCTGGGCTTTGAACCCAGGCAGTCTGGCTCTAGGATCTCCTTCCCTCAACCAGATCTTCCAGTCATGCTGTACCATGTACATGAGATTTTCCTGACATTTTCTCCTATGTTGGATTTATTAAAGTTATTAAGTACATCCCACAAACGTTGACCCACTAAATACCTCAACACAATAGCCTAAGCATTCTCAAACTTTTCTTGTATACCAGGCACATAGGCAGAAGGTGCTGGGGATCCAGGAAGAGGCAGGGTTTCGCACATCCTGGAAAAACCCACAAGCAAGCTTGTGGCCAAAACCTTCACATAAGGTAATAGGAACTGCGTAAGAGAAGCACAGATAACAAATGGCATGTGGCTGCTGCTTTTAGACTCTCAAGTCCTGTAAGTTGAGGACATAGGACCAAGTTGGTAAGGTGTCACCCAGTGTGGATGACCTGTGGGTCTGCGGGATGGCCAGAACAGCACTCAGGATGAAGTTAGGATGGTGACTGTAGACAAGAAAGGGAAGGGAATGGAGCCCTGTTATAGGCAGGCACTCTGCAGGCACATTTCACAAGATGTTGCTCTTCAAAGTGGAGAGGTAGGAAATACTGGTAGTAGAGCAGGATCTGAACTCATGGCTCGTAAGGTAATCTTTTTGCCACCTGGCTGATTCTACATATACCTTTCTACCCCTATCCTAGCCCCTGGTACTGATCAGACATTTGCCAAGGCTGCAGAGAGCCTAGCTCTGGGCCTGGGCTTAGGGACGGATCTCTGTGTCAAGGAGGCAATGGTTCTTTCCTAGGTGTTGCAGCTTGGGATAGCAGATTCCTAGTACTTGGCCCAGGAATGACTGCGGCTGGGATATCTCTAACCCCTTGGAGCGGATAGGCACAGAACTAGGGGCTTGGGTGTGGGCAGAGTTGAGACAATTCCATCTTCTGAAGGAGCTGAGGCCTGGGTTTCCCTGGTAACATCTGCAAGTCCTGATCCCAGAAGGACTAAAGGAATAAGGAGGCGGTAAAGAGAGGCTGATTGTGTCGAGTGTGTGTATGCATGTGGCAGAGGCACAGTGGGGCCTGATTAGGAGTTTCAGTTGGAAGTTACTCGGACAGCAGCCTGCTGCCACATGAATGACTAGAAGCTGGAGAGAGATCGGGGTTGGAGATCAAAGGTTTGGCGTTTAGAGCTAAAGAGCGAAGAGGGGTGGAGTGAGCCTGGGAGATGCTGTCAGTTGGGAAGTAGTAACACCACCAGCTAATGTACAGAGCGCTTACCTTGTGCCAGGCTCTGGTCTAAGTACTTTACAAAGACTAGCTCATTCGATCTCTGTGGGAGGAAGAAGAAGAATAAACGAAAGGACTAGACATAAAGTGAGAGCAGAATCAAGAGAAACCAAGGGAGGGGCTAGAAGGTGAGCTGAGGGATGTTGGGTATGTGACTCTATCTATAAACATAGAGCTGTGTCTTTCTGTATTATCTCTGTATGTCCTCTGTGGTCAAGTCCAGGATATTTAAAATCAGATCTTGCTCACGGACTTTTTTTTTTTTTAAGTTTACACTTGATTATATTTTCCCCCCATTACCATTTAGTTCCCTTTTACCCCTTTCTCCCTCTCAGTAACTTTCATTCTCTCTTTTGAACACTGAAGTTATGCAAATTCCCTTTACTAGCACCATTAAGGGGTATGTTTTGAACATCTGCACCCTGAGTTCTTCCTCTCCTTAACCCACCTGAAGGAAAAGTACAATTTCTGGTGCATCCAGAGAAAGGTGATTATGAATCCTGTGTCTGGGGGAGATTTTCAGGAAAACCTAGGAAACCGTGTTTCACCCTGTTAGGCTATGGAATCTGATTTAGACAGGACAAAAGAAATGGGCAAAAGGCAGGGCAAAGGTAACAAGATGAGATAATGAGCTTGTGACTTTTTTAACCCACCCAGATCAATAAGTCAAATAAACTGCCTGAGTAGCTTATCAGTTGGGGGTTGTGAATTTTACCTCCTATGAGTCAGTTCATTGATAAGGGGGAGCATTTAAAAAATTCCTTGGTATCAGATTTAGTTTGTATTCTATTGTAGTATAAGGTACAGAGAAGGATTCCTTCACACAGGAACAACAGAAACAGCCATTCTGGGCATGAAGGGCTCTCTAGATTGTTTCACCAGTCAACCAACTACCAAGGTCCCAGGCTTTGCTGGAGTATCACAGTTTGTGACATAAGATGTTGCCACGTGAACATTTACCCTTACAACCTCTCTGAACCCTGTCCAGCTCAGGGAACCCCCTCCCTTCCCCACTCAAGGAACGTCATCCTTTATAGCATTTTCTCTTCAGTTTCTCATCTACCGTCGGACAAACACACGTCTCTCCTGGTTGAGCAAATCCTTCCTTCGGCCCTGTTTTCCCTTTTCAGCAGTTACCCTCCTTTTCTGTCTTCGTTGAACTTCTAGGCACCACAGCTCATCCCCTCTGCCCCGAGTACCCACACCCTTTGCTTCCACAAGTCTGTTTAAATTGCCCAATTTGTTTGCCCTGCAAATATTTACTAGATACCAATACCCAGGTGTTGTTACTAAACGAAGCTATGTTTCAGGCAGTATCCTAAGCATTTTTCCTAGTAGTAGCTCAATGAATCCTCACAGCCCTATGAGGCAGGGACTTTATTATCGAACTTTGTGGATGAGGAACGTGAGGTTAGACAGATGAAGTGACCTGCCCGAAGTCACAGGAAAGAGCTTTAAAGGAGAGAGCCAGGATTGTGACCCAGAGAGTTGGCTCCAGAGCCAGGATTTTGTACTGTACTGAGGCCTACCGTGTTTTCTTTTCAGAATGTGTATCTTGTTGTGTCCTCTCTCTTCCCACCCAGGCCCTTATCACCTGGTGCCTGGATGTTTTAACAGCTATCCCGCTGATCTGGCTGACCATGAATGTTTGCTCTCAACCTCCATCCATCCCCCAAGCTCTGTGGCCTGATAATCTGCCTAAAACATCCTCTTCATCTTGTTACCCCTCTGCCATGAGAGAATATATAATCTCTTTGGGAAAAGAAGACACATATGAGCTCCTGAGATAAACCTATAATGATAGTAAATAAAGAGAACAAAATAAAACAAATTTGAAAACCCCTTCCTGGGAAGAAATTGCACAATTTTCTCAGTACCGATTATAGAGGGGAATGGGCAGGGCAGGCACGCAGACTTCAGGTGAGCACTGAATCTCAGTAAGGAGGGGATGGGTTTTTCTGAGAGGAAATGGGGGAATAAAGAGCCAGGGCCCTGGGATCACCCTCACCCTACGCCCTCCCCTTCGCAATATGCCCTGCTGCCTCTCTGCCGGTTCCAGTGCTGAGCTGCTTCCAAGGCTTGGCCTGAAGGGACCTCCACCCTTTTCTGATTAAACCTTTTCTAGACTGATTACTCCCTTCCTGTGCACTTTCCTGAGAGCTTACCTCTAAAACAGGGATGTAATGCTCAAGAAAGTGGTCTGATCTTCAGAGGAAACAGATTGAAGACATCATTAAGAGGCAGGACTTAAAGTATTGGCCTTCATTCAAGAGCTTCCAGGAATGATGTTTTATTACTTGAATGTTTGTTTGTTATTTGCTTCCCACATGTTATCTAATTTAATCTTCACCCAATTCTTCAAGGTAGGCTCTATTCTTATTCTCTATTTTGCAGGTGAGTTCATTGAGATTATTGCAGAGAAGGACCCTGTGCCAAATCACGTGGCTAGCAAAGGAGGGCTGCCTGCCTGCGGAGCCCACACTCTTATCTATTATGCCTCCTGGGGAACACTGTTATGGGCAGGTCACTTGTTCTCCCTTCAGTTAGGGATGGAAATCCAGGAGGAAGTGCAGCTGCACAGGAGAGTTTTTGCCCCTTTGCCTGCACCAGCCCTCACGGTGTTCAAATGAAGTACCCCTCCGCCTAGAAACGTCTCTGGGGTTCCATCTCTAAATGAAGCGGTAGCGCTAGACCAACGAAGGCTGAGTTCTCCCAGGGCTGACATTCTGTGATTACTGAGCATTGGTGGAAGAAGGGGGAGCTAATTGAGTGAGTTAGTAATTTGGTTGCCAGGGTAACTCTTTCCTGATTGGAAGGAAGGGATCACAGGGTTCAACGCAGACCTTGCTGGATAGGGAAGTGGTGTCTGATCTTCGCTCCATGTTTCTGCTTCTGAGATGGAAAAGGAAAGAGCAAAAGAGGGTAAAATTTGAATCCAAACATTATAGCATTTATGCCTAATTTAGAATAAAATCCTTGGGTGGCTGACTCTGGAGTTCTCTGCGAAGTGTGGCGTTCTTTTGTTTAAATCATTTGTTATTTGACAATTTCTGTGCTTATGTTGTGTGTTTTATTGAGTGTATAGTCTTGGCCTCTTATCTCACCCAGGCCATCTTCTGTGGCCAACTGTCTTCATAGGATGCTGCACATTTTGAAAGAAAATGGTTACAGCTTTCACTAGCTCAGCCTGGGGGTCTGGAGCACTGTTTTCCAGAGTTCTAATGGCAGGGCCACCCCCTTGGACAACTGCAGGGGTGTTGTTCACATTGTAGTGTATGTGTGGAGTTGTGCAGTAAACAATATTGAACTATGTATATTGGTATCAGGCTATTGGAAAGAGGCTTGGGTTCTACACTCAAATGACTTCAGAACTGACATCGGTCGGTCATTCTGCCCTGACCCCTCCTGGACTATTTTTCCACCTATAAAATGGTCTAATAACTTTTAAAAAATCAGTTATGTAAACCTGTTTTCCAAAAAAGGATCTTGTGGTGATTAACAAGACCTTGTAGGACTTTTAAAAAGGTGGACAGCTACAGGGTTACAGTGCACTTAAAATGGCTGATGCCCTGGCCAGCAGCTCAGTTGGTTAGAGTGTTGTCCTGATACGCCAAGGTTGCAGGTTTGATCCCTGGCCCGGGCACACACAAGAATCAACCAATGAATGCATAAATAAGTGGAACAACAAATCTATGTTTCTTTCTCTCTCAGATCAATAAAACATAAAAAAGTAAGTGTCTGATAGTAGGCATGAGTTTTCTCCAGTCTTCCTTTTGTATAAGGGGTTGTACTGTGTGAGTCCCATGGTTTGGTCTAGCTTTTTAACCAATCATTACAAGAATCAGGAGAGCTGGTGCAGTGGTGTCGAATCATGACCCATGCCGCCCTGGATCGCTCCTAAACCACTGACCTCTGGGAAATCCCACCCTAGCTCAGAAGCAGGCCAAGGATGTCAGGGCTACTCCAACACCAGGGCAAATTAGCACCACTTTCCCCTGCTGCTCAGTGCCCAGGGACGACAGACCACCGCACTGTTGGAGGCTCTCTGCCTCAGTTTGTTAGAGCCTCCATAACCCCCCTTCCCTTGCTGAGCGGCACTGGGCTGAGCCTCCTTCAACATTTCCTGGGCAAGTAGTGGGGAATGGCTGGCTCGGTGCCTTCTGGAGGTACTTTTCCAAGACCCTTGGGGTCTGTGTATTTGAGAGAACGGGGAGGTACAAACAGGCATTGAATGCAAAAGGAAGTTAGAAAGGATCTTAATCCATCCAGAAGGGATTTAGGGAATCACGGCATGTCTTTGTTTCACGAGAAACGGGATCATTTAGCCACTCTGGAGTGTCCTGGGAAAAAGGGGTAGGGACTAAAGACGTTATCTCCAGAACGGGCCAGCCACCATGAACCCTTTCTCTCATCTCACTTCTCATCTGTTGTACAGGTGAGAAAATGGAAGCCCACAGTTGAGCAACTTGTCCAAGGTCCCCATTTATGAAGTGAACTTGAACCTGAATGAACACCTGTCCCCAGCCTGGCTCCTTCCTTTAGGAAACAGACCAAAGTAACTCAGTCTGAAGTAACTAGAGGGACAGAGATGGGCCATGTCACTTCTTAGGGAGAGAAGGGCAGCAAACAAGCCAAAGGGAGAGAGAGCAATCCTTTGATACACTCCCAGCCAGCTTTCCCACCACAGGCTTGCACCCTAAGCAACCCCTAAACAAGAGCTGCTCAGCCTTAGGGCCACCTTGTACAAGTACACATAATGAATGACCACAGCAGGAAGAAAAAAAAGATAAGCCTCCCTGTCTGCAGGGACTGATGTGATGTTCTTTGCTAAAACAGTCAGAAGCAGCTTCAAAAAAAAAACATCTCCATCACCGACTAGTCATCCAAAGGCTCCAGCAAGGGTGTCCAACCCACAGCCAGTGGGTCACATGCGGCCCAAGACGGCTATGAATGGAGCCCAACACAAAATCGTAAATTTACTTAAAACCTTTTTTTTACTCATCAGTTTCATTAGTGTTTGTGTGTTTAATGTGGGGTCCAAGACAACTCTTCTTCCAGTGTGGCCCAGAGATGCCAAAAGCTTGGACCCCTGGATTTTGGTGAAAGGGATTAGTCCAAAACCTGACCTCACTTTCATTTCATTTCATGCCAGCACCAATACACACCCAGGCATGCAGACCCTGTCTAACTAGTGAGCTGCTCAGACACAAAGGCACTCTAATTACCATCTGCAAGCTGGGCTGACAAAGATTTCAAGTGTTTTCATGTTTATGGAGATCAGAGAAATGTGTACTGTGCATCTTTCCCACCGACAGCAAGTTTAAAATAAAACCAAACAAGAAACGCCTCACATTTATTAAAAACAGACATTTCAGTTAAGTTAAAATCCTATAATCAGGATAGCCACAATTCCAGACACTCCGGTACGAAGTGCAGATATGTCAATAGCCACATCTGGATGATGAAGAAGCCATTGAATCTTATAAAACTAAAACACCAACTAAAAGGTCTTCAAACCCTTCGAGTGAGTGAACAGTGTGTTACAAACTTCACGATGGTTTACAATGGCAAAGCCTGCAGCTTCTCCATTTGGACGGTCACATTTTCTACTCGGTTTCCTTCACTTACAAAGGCGAGCTGGCATGGCTGGGGGAGGGGCAGAGGGAGGAAATCAACTCCGTCTACCCAGGGTATTGCAGCTGTTATTGCAAATGGCCCCGGAGAGCCCATTATGAGCTTCTGTGCGAGGCTGGTTGTCCCTGGAGTGCCCGTCACGTGGCGTCTCCCCAGCCCCCAGGAGCACCCGCACCACCCTCTTGAGTAAAACAGCAGAGCTGAGGGGGAGAGGAGGGACCCGAGGCCACGTCTCTGAACTATTTCCAGGGGAGCCCGGAGTGCAGCGGCCCGCGGGAGGTGCCGGCGCCCAGCACGTCCCCGCCTCCCTACACCGAGGTGGTAGCGGTGCGCTTGTCCTCAGGAGACTCCAGCATTTCACCACCCTCCTATCCCCACCCTGGGCGCACCGCGGCTTTCCCCTCCACTCGGGGAACCGCAGCCAGTTGCAAAGCAGGGACAGAGAAAAGGTCCTTTCATGGTACCGTGTGTTTTAAGAACCAGCACCCCTAGACACAAAATGGGTTAAAAAAAAGTGTTGTAAATTTTCAAGTCTAGCAGTTTGAGGTACTCCCTGAAATGATCGTCTACTCATGTTCCCCTCTCCCAAAAGTGAACCAGGAACCAATCCTGAAAAGGTGAAACAAGTAACTGGAATCACCCTCGTCCTTAGGGCGCACGGCGATCCTGAGAAGCATGAACTGCGGCCACATGGTCGCCGGGCTGGACGGCCCGGGGAGGCTGCGTGGAACTGGACGCGGTGCCTCCGAGAATGGTCGCGCCAAATAAGGAGCCCTATTGACTGTGAGCTTGGTGCGCCCTGTAATATGCCTTAAATAGGGCCAACCGAGTCCTGTTTTTCAACATCAGGGCTCTAGACCTCAGTTCCCCGCGAAAACATTGGCGATTTTCCGATTCCTCGTCATTAGCTTATTTTCCCGCTTCAAAAGCGTGAGTTCACCAGTTCCAGTAAAGATGCAGCCCTCAGGAGAACCCCTCGTCCTCCAGGCAAAGGCTGGCGCAGCGGCCACTCCCCGGGTATTAGCTGCCAGGCACAGGAACGCCGTCGCCCGTTCTGAGTAGCGCCCTCCTTCCTGTCGCGCCAGCGTTGCTGCAGGCCGTGCGCGGGCTGGGGGGCGACGGGGGCTTGTGCACTGCGGCCGTCAGAGGCCTCAGGACCGGGCGCTGGGGAAGCTTTGCGTGTAGCTGCAGCCGTCGCGAGTGAAGCCTCCGCACGGCCTCCTTGATGAGGTTCCCCGAGAGCACCAGCTGCTGCAGGAGCCGGTGCGGATCGTCGTCAACGGTGTGGACTTCCGGCTGGGGCCCGCGTCGCTGCTGCAGGCGCCGGGAGGCGGCGGCCCCCCGCAGCCATCCTCGCCGGCACGGGCCCGACAGCTGCTTTGGGACACGGCGCTTGTCGTCTCCCGATGGCCCATCTAGGCTGGACTGAGGGGGTCGTGGGGACAGGGCACTAGGGCCTGCAGGGAGCTCGGCGACAAAGTAGGGCGCAGCCCGGCCTCTCACGCGGCCGCGGTCCCCGAGGGCGCAGCGCAGGGCCCCCGGGGGCGCTGGGCCCACCGCCTCGGCCGGCGCCGGCGGCAGAAGCAGCGGCAGAACAGGAGGCCGGGCCTTCTCCGCCCGCACCGCCGCCTCCGGGGGCCGCAGAAGCGGCCCGGGGGGCGCGCACGGGGAGGCAGGGCTGTCCTGCGTCGCGTCCAGCTGCAGCGTCTCGCCGATCTGGGCCACCAGCCGGTCCACCTCGCCAGAGCCGCCCAGCTTCATCGACTGCTCCAGCAGGAGGAAGCTGTCCTCCTCCTCTTCCTCCCCCTCGGCTTCCTCGCCGGCTTCCTCTTCCTCCTCCCTTCGGCACGGCATGTCTCCCAGCCCGGGCACCCGGGGCTCTGCGGGCGTCGCTGGCAGTTCCGTGGGCCGCGGCGGAGCCGGGTGCGGTGCTGAGGCCGGGGCCGGGGCCGGGGCTGGGGCAGACGCGGAAGCCGGGGACCGTCTGGCACTCGTGCCGTGCGTTGCAGCAGCGGTAGCCGGAATCCTACCGGCTCGGGTTGATTTGTAAACAATGGGTGACGTCGTGGCTGGGCCCAACCACCGCGCCGGGGCGGGGGTGCACGGTACCGTTGCGGAGCTGGTCGTCCCTGGGCAGGCGTCCAGGGTGGAGCCTTGCTCCCTCTGAGCTTTGTAATCTTGAATACTGTCTGCGGGGGCGCAATGGGGAGCTGCTTCTCGCTCTTTTAGGCGGCCGTGATTGGACTTTATGGCAGATGGACACCGGCTTGGATTCTGTTGGTTTCTTCCACACACAACACCTACAACTTACACTCACACGCCCACACACTCCCCTCCTCTCAGCGCGTCAACTCGTTTGGTTTCGGCATGTGCGCTTTTGAGGTCCTCGATGCCAGTGTCTGGGCAGTCGCAACTCAGAGTGAGGCGAGGATGGAGTAGAGAAGGACTGCGGCCAGGGGTTTGGCATCTGACATGGACTACGGGGTGGGGATAGACTGTGGGAGCAGGGGGTGGGGCGGGGGCGGAGGAGGGCGAAGGGGGGAAAATTGGGACAACTGTAATGGAATAGACAAGAACAAAATGTAAAAATAAATAAATGAAAGAAAAAAGAAAATAAAAAAAAAGAACTAAACATACACGCATCCTATGATTCAATTGCAATCCTAGATATTTACCTACAAGAAATAACAGATTTGCATCTAGGCCTACGGGCAGATAATCATAGCAGCTTTATTAATAAAATCCATAAACTAGAAACAGCTCAAGTGTTTAGCGACCGGGGAATGAATAAACTATGACACATTCATAATCTGATAACAGAATACTGTCTAGCAACAAAATGGATGGAAATAGTGCTACATTCAATACCATGGATGAATCTCAAAAACAGCACCCTAAGAAAAGGAAGCCAGAGAAAACAGAGCACACACTACATGATTTGTTTATATGGAGTTCTGGAACAGGAAAAATTAATTTATGGTGGGGAAAAAAATCAGAAGACTGGTTGCCTTTGGAGAGGGTGGAGTCAGGGCAAGGGCCGAGTCAGAAGAGGCCTGAGGGAACTTTAAGGGCGGTGCCCATGTTCCGTAGTTTGGTAGCTCCATGTCGGTTTCACAGGTGGATGTGTGTGTTAAAATTCATTGTATTTATTGCTCGTAAATTTTACATGAAAAGAAAAACCTAAACAAATATTAAATTCTGGTTAATGGACAAGCTGATGAATTTAGGGGTGAGGTATATTAATGTTTGCCATTGATTCTCAAGTGCACAAAAATGAGATGGGTAGAAGAAAACATAAGACAGGTAGACCTATGATAAAGCATACATAATAAAATGTTAATGTTATTGTATGACCCAGCAATTCCACTCCTAGGTTCATACCTGAGAAAATTGAAAACATATGTTCACAGAGAAATTTGTATAGAAACATTCATAGCAGCATTATTCGTAATAGCCCAAAAATAGAACAACCCAAATGTTCATTAGCTAATAAATGGATGAATAAAATGTTGTCTATTCATGCAATGGAATATTATTCACCATACAAAGAAATGAAGTACCAGTGTAGCATGGGTGAATCTTGAAGACATTATGCTAATTTAAAAAAATACACAAAAAGCCACATATTGTAAGATTCCATTTAGTTGAAATTTCCAAAACAGACAAATCTGTAGAGACAGAAAGTAAATTAGTGATTGCCAGGGGATGGGAGGAGAGGGAAATCAGGACTAACGGTTAGTGGGTAGGGGGTTTCCTTTGGGGTGATGAAAATGTTTTGGAATTAGATAGTGGTCATGTTTATACAACAGAGCAAATATACTAAAAGCCACGGAAGTGTATGCTTTACAATTCACTTTATTTTTCATTTTTTGTTGGTATAATAGTTTTATTAGTTCAAATAAAGACATCACATGTTCTGGCCCATCACGATGATGCAACATTTAGCTCTTCTTTGTAGCTGGAACTCAGTTAATTCATTTCATTCCATTCCAGTGATTCCTGAGATGGCGTCATGGACTGCAGTCTCTCTGGGTGGTCATGTTCTGTTTGAGACTTGCTATAAATAATTTCAAACTCCTGCCTCCTCGTCAACACACTAATCATATTCAGCATACTTATTATTGTTGTTGATCTTATTGCCGCTGCGCCTGACACGCTGGGGAGAGAAAAGAGCTCCCCGACAGCCTCGTTGCCCTGCATGCCTCACAATAAAACCTTTCTTTAGATCTCGGACTACTAAGGTCTTCAAAGAACCATTCACCACACACGTTTCGTCTTCCAGCTCACAGTCGTCTGAATCGCTGGGAAGCACAATGTTCAAGGCAGCATTTTTGTTCAAATACATTGTCTTTTGATTTAAGAATATGCTTCTGGCCTGATTTAATTTCCTATTCCTGGACTTTTTCCTCGATCCCTTTGTTGTGCAGTCTGGTGATGACTCTTTATTTACCAAGGGCACTTGCTCAGGGTACCTGTCCAGCTCTGCATCCCGTCATCTGCTCATATCACACTGGATGGTTTCATCAACTTGGTTAAACCAGGCCAACCAGGCAGCAGAGGGAACAGGCCCCTGGCGGTAGCTGTCCCCCTCTCCCACTTCTCCATCCAGCTCCCTTACACAGCATTGACTCTTCCCGTTCCCTTTCTTCCTTCTGGTGATGACTCAGCAGGCCTCTTCAGCTCTGCATCCTGCCACCAGCTCATATCACACTGGATGGCTCCATTGACTTTCTTAGATTGGGCCAGCAAGGCAGCAGAGGAAACGTCTCCCCTCCCCCCGCCCCGGGGGAAGTGGTCCTAGTCTCCCACTTCCTCTTGGTACATTTTATCCGGGGAGGGGTCTTCACCCTCATGAGGGTTGCTGAGAACACCCCTACTTTCCTAGAAACTCTGTGAATTCCCACTGTGCTGCACCTGCTGAAGTTCAGCCTGAGTCCCTTTGGTTCTCATTTTCCTCCCACGGCCACCATAGTACTGGAATTGTGCTGGATTAGAAGACACAGGGAATGTAGGTCTTTGTTAAGTGTAGTGGGCAATGAGGGTTGGGGTACGAGGAAGCGCGGATACTCATTGGGCACCACGGACCATAGAAAATACAGATTTCCATTTCTGAATCCCGCCTCCGGAACAGAGAATGGATTATAGGCAGAATTCTGGTACCAGAACTTGGGGAAGGCTGCCGGCCATGCTACATATACAATAAAAGAGTCAGGGCTTATTTACTTTAGAACATGGGTTTTCTTCTGAAGAGTTCATTTTCTGGGTTGCTCTAGTTCAAAGTCTACTACCAGCAGAGTCTGAGGTGGCATGCCAACCTTCTTGTGGCCTACCTTTGCAACATGGAATGTTTATGGTCTTTAAAATTCACTTTAAAGTGAATTTAATGTTATGTGAAGTATATCTCAATTTTTAAATGCTCACACATAATGGTAGCATCTAGATGTTGGGTCATAGGGTAGTCCATTCTCAAATCCTTTCTTTTGCTGACTGTTTGAAAATGTTTAGAATAAAATGTTGGGGGGAAATGAGCAAGCTACCAAAAAGAAGTGATTCATTTTGTGACTTCTTTCAAAACTGCCCAGGGCATGGGGTGCTGAGGGCTGACTAGTGGGAAGGAAGGGAGGAAGTATACACCCTGCTGGCTGGTTGATGGGAATTCTGTGGACCCATTTGCTGGTTCTGAAAGGAGGTAGACAGTCTGCTGTGTGCTGACTTAATTCTTGCCCACCGTGCAGGATTTCAAACTGATGGCAGGAATGAGGCTTGACCTCTTTAGAGGTGAGCAGCCTCCCTGAGTGATGGGCCAAAGAAGCAGCAGGGTGGACACCAGCCGGCCCCTCCGCTAATCCTGGCCTTGCCCCCCAGCTCCCAGATAGGAAGGCTGCTGGAGCTGGGCTGGTTGAGGAGGAGGCCTTCGTACTGAGAGAACTGAAGAGATTAGGAGATTCACGCTGAGATGCAAAGAGGTGCTAATGAGGTATTAAACACCTCTCAGTAGAGAGGCAGGAGAAAGTTGGAAACCTGAAGGTGGAAGCTGAAAATGTCTTGAGGCTGTTGATAGGGTGGGAAAGACAACAGGCCCCTGGTTAAACAGGTTTTTAGGGACAGGTAGGTCTGTAACTGGGTAGTTAACTAACTGGCTTTGGGCTAACGTGGATGCAGCAATGTAGAATATTTTGCTACTTGTAAAAGTAGAAAGGTCTCAAGAGTGGGGCGGAGGTTCTGAGGAATGTAGCCCCAGAGGTGGAGACTTGAGTAGTGTACTGAGCTCAGCAGTGTTTCCTCTAAATTCCTGTCCACGGGGAACCTCTGCATGTGATCTTATTTGGAAATAGGGTCTCTGCAACTATAATGAAGTTACCTTGAGGTCAAACTGGATTAGGGTGGGCCCCAATGCAGTCTCTGGCATCCTTGTTTGAAAAGAAGGAAATTTGGGCACAGAGACAGAGAGGGAGAATGCCACGTGTCTGTCAGCGGCAGACATTGGAGTGGTGCTGCCACCAGCATGAAACCCCCAAAAGATGGCCGTCAGTCACCAGAAGCTGAGAGCATGGAGCATCTTTTCCCGCGGAGTCTCCAAGGAGCCAGCCCTGCTGAATGATATCTTGCTATCAGACTTCTGGCCTCCAACACTGTGAGAGACTACATTACTGTTGTTTTAAGGCACCAAGTCTGCAGTAATTTGCTACAGCAGCCCTGGAAAACTAGTGCTTATTTCGAGGAATGTTTTTGAACTGTGTTCTGGAGCAGTTCTGAGAATCATTGGAAATACTGAAGGGCTGAGAGCATCTTTGATTGCTGTGCTAGTCCCAGCGAGATCCACCGTTAGAACAGGAATAAAGAAGGAAGAGATGAAAGACAAGGGGCCAATAAAGCTTTGTTGCATGTCGATCACAGGTAAAAAAATGGCCACGTCAGTAAAGCATCTTCGCAGGGACATTTAGATAATCCCGTATAGGCTGATACAGTTAGTGTTCCCATTTCTGGGGCTGCAGAAATGACTGTCCTGCCCTT